GACGTGCTGCAGTTGCTGGCTGCCCTTCACCTATACCCTAAACCCTATACCCTAAACCCTAAACCCTAAACCCTAATAACCCTAACAATCCTAAATCCGTAAACCCTCGCCCCTGTTGACTGTCTGCATAAGGGTTTTTGGGCTCATGGTTTAGGGCCTATGGTTTAGGGTTTAGGGTTTAGGGTTTAGGGTTTAGGGTTTAGGGTTTAGGGTTTAGGGTTTACCATTTCCATCAGCATAAAGGGCCTTTAAACCTGAAAACTCTTCTAAACCCCCGATATTAGAAAACCCTCTGCGGTGTATGTACAGCACAGGGTTTAGAGCAGGGGTTTTATAATACACTTTCGGCTTCTCTTGCAGCACTTTGTTTAAAGCCTCCCGAGTCATTAAACTCGCCGTCTCCACCATTTCTAATAAACCCTAATAAACCCTAATAAACCCTAATAAACCCTAAACCCTAATTTATGAATGCAGGAGCGATGGAGCCCTCGAGAGCTCGGAGACAGAGAGATATAATAAAATAAATTATTAATAAAATGGTTTAGGGGGTTTCAATAAATAAATAACCCTTTTTTTAGGGTTTAGGGTTTAGGGTTTAGGGTTTTTAGGGTTTAGGGTTTAGGGTTTAGGGTTTAGGAGCTGTCGATACAGCTGAGAGTTTGGTGCAGAACCGAAGAGCAGCAGCAACGCAGCAAACGCAATAAAACAAATAAATAAACAAACAAATATATTTTTATTTAAATATTATATTTATAATTTAATTATTATTTATTTTATTTTCGTATTTTTTACTCTCTAAACATCTGCATGCAATCATTGCAGCAGCAGCAGCAGCAGCAGCAGCAGCAGCTGTTGCTGCTGCTGCTAGTTTTCTTCGTTGCCGTTAGACAACTGAAGCAGCAGCAACAGCACTGAATGAAATACTGTGTCTGTATATTTATTTATTTATAAACTTGTGTCTTTGCCTAGAGAAACAGCAGCAGCAGCAACTGCTGCTGCGGCTGCAGCAAATCGTTCTTCGCAGCGTTTGTGGCTGTACACCCCAGCTCTAAGCAACTGCAGCAGCGGCTCTCTCCTGTGCAACAACAACAGCAGCAACAGCAGCAGCAGCAAGCCGGGGGGCCCTACAGGGACAACAGCAGCAGCAACAGCAGCAGCAGAAACAGCAGCAAGAGCAACACCCAGCAACAGCAGCAACAACAGCAACAGCAGCCGCAGTAACACCAGCAGCAGAGGCAGCAGCAGCGACAGCAGCAACAACAGCAGCAACAGCAGCAGCAACCGCAGCAGCAGAAACCGATGCTGACGCCGCGTTCACTGCAGTGGGGGCCTTTCCGCTTAGCGGGACCCTTCCTGTGCTGCAGTGCAGCAGCAGCAACCCCAGCAGCAACTGCAGCAGCAGCACGTGCAGCAGCAGCAACTGCAGCAGCAGCAACTGCAGCGGCAGAAGCAACAGCAGCAGCAGCAACATCGTCTGTCTGCTACCGCTGCAGGAGCTGGCAGCCTCGCTGTACCGCTGCACCTACAACGCTAACAGCAGCAGCAGCAGCAGCTGCTCCTGCTGCTGCTGCAGGGCCGTGTGCTGCAGCTGCTCTTTCAAGGCGCGCGATGCATGCAGCAGCAGCAGCAACAAAAGCAGCAGAAGGTGCAGCAACGACAGCAGCAACAGCAGCCGAAACACCAACAGCAGAAACAGAAGCAGCTGCAGCAGCAGCAGCAGCAACAGCAGCAGGGGATGAAGGAGGAAGCAGCAGGCAATACACAGTTGCTGCTGCCTCAAGACAATTTGCTGCTGCAGTGCCGCTGCAGCTGCTACGAGCAGCAGCAGCAGCAACAGAAGCAGAAGCAGCAGCAGCAGACTTCGTTCCTCTCCGCGCACTATGGAGGCGTTGCGTGCAGCAGCAGCAGCAGCAGCAGCAGCAGCAGCAGCAACTGGAGTTGGGGGGTGATGAGGACCCTCTAACCCTTGAACACGTTTGCCTCCTCCTTGAGGTCTGCAGCATAAACCCTAAACCCTAAACCCTAAACCCTGATCCGCAGTCGCCAGCGCGCGGAGTCCCATAAAGCTCAGGGTTTAGGGTTTAGGGTTTAGGGTTTAGGGTTTAGGGTTTGTGCTGCAGGGATGTATTGCTGCGAGGGTGCGGGAGTTTGCTGTCATCGGCTCTGTTTTGTCTCTGGGCGCAGCAGCAGCAGCTTCAAACCCTTACACTCTGCTGCAGCTCTTGCCCCGTAACCCTAAACCCTAAACCCTAAACCCTAAACCCTAAACCCTAGGCCTTAAATGCACCCCTGCAGCACTTACTAACGAGGCGCGTTCCTCGGTTAACGAGCGCTTAAGCCCCGCAGCTCTATGCCTCCAGGATTAAGGGTTTAGGGTTTGGGAATTAGGGTTTAGGGTTTAGGGTTTAGGGTTTAGGGTTTAGGGTTTAGGGTTTGTGTTTAGGTGTAAGTAAGGCCGTGCGGCGTTTGGGTTTTCTCCACTTTGATTTTTTTGAAGATGCACAAAACCAAATGCAGCGAACAAACCCCCAAACAAGTAAACCCTAAACCCTAAACCCTAAACCCTAAACCCTAGTTCCCAAACCCTAAACCCTAAACCCTGCCTTTTTAGAACTCATGTCCAGGGACCCCCAAGCGCGAATAAACCCTAAACCGTAAACGCTAAACCCTAAACGCGGCGCCTCAGCTCGGCGCAGGTACAGAGCACGACTTGGTTAGGGTTTAGGGTTTAGGGTTTAGGGTTTGTGTGCAGTTGCTTCTTTGTGGAGCGCGTCGGATGTTTGTGCTGTTGCTGAGGCCTTTGCTGCCCAGCGAATGCCTTCTGCTGCTGTTGCAGCAGCAGCAGAAGCTGTGCTGCAGCAGCATCAGCAGCAGCAGCAGCAGCAGCAGCAATTGGTTCCGTTTGCTGCTGCTGCTCGCCTGCTGTTGGCTTTCGCGCAGCTAGATGTACATTCCGCTGCTGTGCTGCAGCCGCTGCAGCAGCAGCTGCAGCAGCATCTGCAGCAGCAGCAGCAGCAAGTGGCGATGCAGCGGGAAGAAGCCCTTGCCTTAGGCGCTGCAGCAGAAGCTGCTCTGCTGCTGCATCACCACCAGCAGCAGCTGCAGCCGTTAGCAACAGAGTGGGGCCCTCTGCTGCTGTCTTGTCTTGAGAGGTGAACAGGGATCATCAAGGGTTTAGGGTTTAGGGTTTAGGGTTTAGGGTTTAAGGTTATGAGGGACTTCGACTTATCTTGTTGAGAAGGGCTTGGGGTTTGATATGCTGCTGCTCGTGTTGCTGCGTTTTTGCTGCTGCTGCTATCACCGCTGCTCTCACTGCTGCTGCTGTTGCTGCTGTTGCTGCTGCTGCTGCAGGGCTGCCGCTTTTGCTGCAGAGCAGCCGGAAGATTTCTGGAGACGTCCATCGAATGCCCGGCTCCACAGGTGCAGCAAACCCTAAACCCTAAACCCTAAACCCTAAAACCTAAACCCTTCAACCCACGAACTGCACCGCAAGCCACAGAAAGGGGGGTCTATCAACAAACCCTGGCTTAGGCAGGATACGAGGGTTTCAGTTTAGGGTTTAGGGTCTAGGGTTTAGGGTTTAGGGTTTAGGGTTTGGGAGTGCGCAGGCAAATTCTTCTGTGCCGCTTAGCACTGCGTACCCTCGACCGCCCATTGTATGAACGTCTTGATGGTAGGGTTTAGGGTTTGGGGTTTAGGGTCTAGGGTTTAGGGTTTAGGGTTTAGGGTTTGGAGTTTAGGGTTTGGGGTTTAGGGTTTCAGGCTTGGGGTTAGGCTTTGAGACCAACGGGCTAGGGTTTAGGGTTTAGGGTTTAGGGTTTAGGGTTTGCTTTTAGGGAGAACGCGGAGCATCCTTCGGCAGCTGCAGCGCATGGAATTGACTCTAAGCCCGAGGCCGCCGACAGTCTTTGTTCAAAAGGTAGGATGAAGGGTTTAGGGTTTAGGGTTTAGGGTTTAGTGTTTAGTGTTTAAAGTTTAGGGTTTAGGATTTAGGTGCGATATCTGCCGCAGTCGGATTTTCGTGCGCATTGGTCGCTAGGATACGAGGGTTTCAGTCTGGGGTTTAGGGTTTAGGGTTTAGGGTTTAGGGTTTAGGGTTTGTGGGTTGCAGTTTAGCGCCATCTTGACGAAGCTTCGGATCGCTCACCAGACCTACGCAATGCGGTGCGTTTCCTTCTGAGCTGTCTGTACACCTGAAGGCTGAGGGTTTAGGGTTGAGGGTTTAGGGTTTAGGGTTTAGGGTTTAGGGTTTGCGCTGCAGAGGGGTTCTCTGCTTCGATATTTTAGAGAGAGATCGCAAACTCGCGTGGTGCTGCGACAGCGCCGATCGTTTTTATGTTGGCACCAACATCAAAACCGCCGCAGGTAGGGTTTAGGGTTTAGGGTTTAGGGTTTAGGGTTTAGGGTTTAGGGTTTAGGGTTTAAGGTTTAGGAGGTCTTTAAGGCGTGGTGCTCTGGGGAGATAGGTTTTGCAAGCACTGCGAGCAATAATTCAGGGTTCAGGGTTCTGGGTTCTAGGGTTTAGGTTTTAGGGTTTAGGGTTTAGGGTTTAGGGTTTAGGGTTTGTGGTTTTCAGTTCGTCTGCAAGAGAAGATTGTGCGGGGTTTGGGTATTCATGTAGCGAACTGCGCGTATTGGCAGTGGAACAAAATGAAGTAAACCCTAAACCCTAAACCCTAAACCCTAAACCCTAAACCCTCTTAGCCCTTAAAACCCTAAACCCTAGGGTGCGATGCGTCACCGCCGCTAAGCTGCAGCAACCCCAAACCCTAAACCCTAAACCCTAAAGCCTTTCAGATAACACGCTGCACGCAGCGAGGTTTGCTTCTGGTCGGCGTATGAAGTCTTAGAGCCTAGGGTCTAGGGTTTAGGGTTTAGGGTTTAGGGTTTGCGTATAGGGCGAGGCGGACCCGCATTGAATACGTGCGAATGAGTCGTTACTATGCGCTACAAGATCGCAGGTAAACCCTAAACCCTAAACCCTAAACCCTTGCGGTGTAGGATTAATATAAACCCTAAACCCTTGGAGAAAGGGTTTATGCACACCCTAAGCCGTTTGAGGTTTGCAGCAGATTAAGTTTCACAGGCAGTTGTCTAGAACTCCATGGATTAGGGTTTAGGGTTTAGGGTTTAGGGTTTAGGGTTTGTGGTGCAGGGAGACGAACTTAGAATTTGAAGGGTGGTTGCTGCCTCACGTTCATCATATACACCGCAAAAATAATATTGAGGCTTTTTGTCATTTTCCTAATAATCAGCCTGTTGGACATATTGTCTACTAAACCCTAAACCCTAAACCCTAAACCCTAGTGGCGGCTGCGCTCAGATTCGTAGCTGTTTCCCGCAAACCCCAAACCCTCGTTTGTCTTATTTTTAAAGGCGATGCGGCCAGATCGGGGAATTTGCTGAGGTGTACATACACTTCAGCTCTTGTTGAACTCTTCTAGGGTTTAGGGTTTAGGGTTTGGGGTTTAGGGTTTAGGTGCATTCAGTATAATGGTAGAGTAATAAGAATATGAAAATGAGAACAGTAAAGATATAACAGGAAAATATAACAATAATAATAATAATGATAATAATAAAGAAGTAATAATAATAATAATAATAATATATTTTTGTTTTGCTTTTAGGGTTGTTCTCTGAACTCTAAGATATAAAATATAAAATGTAGTAGCGCTGTTTATGCTTTTTAATTTTCTTACATCTTTATATTATGCTGTTAATTACACAATATTATTATTTTCTACGTTTTATTATGTAATATATATATATATATATACATATGTATATATATATCTACATATATATGTTATTAGTGCTCTGAACGTTAATTTCGATAGAAGTACGGGTAAATTATCAATATAAGTTAAATAATATTTAATAATATTATTAAATCCACTTAAAAAGTAAAAAAATATTAATTAAATATAATAAAACAGAAATAATTAAAAATATAAAAGTTTGAGTGTCTGTACAGTGTATGCTCTGCCATCGCTCGCGCTGTTAATAGTTTTGTTTGAGGGGGCAAACGAGTAAAATGTTTAAATAAATATATTAAATATTTAAATTAAAATAAAAATATAATTTAAATTAATATTTTAAAGAATATTAAAATTAATTAGGGGTATTATTGCAGTATATATTTTTCTTCGTATCGATTGAGTGTGTGTGTGTGTGTAGTAAGGCTTTGTTTGCTTGTGGTGTATGAGTGCTTGCTACCTGAAGAGGCATTAAAAATTATATTTAATTGAATATAAATATATTAAAATATATTTAAAATTATATTTAAATAATTTTAATGATTTAAATGCAGTAAACAGCAGCAGAACCACAGCAGAAGAACCACCGGCTCGATGAGGCTGAGGCTCAGGTGTATAGGCAGGTGATGTGTAGACTATGAATTAAATCAAAAAATACATTATTATTATTTAATTTTAAATATATTTTATTATTTATTGTTTTTAAAAGCCCTTTTTTTATCCTATCAACGTAGACAGAGACAGCAGATGCTTCAAACTGCACCACTGGTCCGGAGATGGCTGTTGCTGCTGCTGCTGCTGCTGCTGCTGGTGTGGATCTAGCAGCATCAGGAGCAGGAGCAGCAGCAGGAGCAGCAGCAGCAGCAGGAGCAGCAGCAGGTAGAGTCTAATGTATGATTTTCATTTGTTTTACCCCAGGTTTTCTTACAGGTTTTCTTTCGTACAGGCAGGTAGCTGCATATACACCCCAAGCAGCAGCAGCAGCAGCAGCAGCGGGTCACTTAGTCGCTCTGCTGCTTATTGCATTTTATTTTTTTCGTTTATTTTTCTTTATTTGTTTAAAGGGTTTTTTTAAACCCTTTAAACAAATAAAGTTGTGTTCATCTCCCTTCTGTCTTTCTGCTGCTTCTGCTGCTGATCCCCGTACACGCAGCGCAATGCTGTTCTAAGTAGTCCCCTAAACCCTAAACCCTAAACCCTAAACCCTAAACCCTGAGTTCATCAAGTTCTTCTTCAAACCCTTACAATTGGAGCAGCTTCTATTCTACAGCAACTCGCTGCTACGTAGCAGCAACAGCAGCAACCGCTGCAACAGCGAACCACCGTGAGAACCACCCTAAAACCCTAAACCCTAAACCCTAATCCCCAAACCCTAAACCCTAAACCCTAAACCCTAATCTTGCCTTGTATCTCTTTTGCTGCTTTTCAGTTACTCATTGCTGCTGGACAATGCTGCCTTCGGAAGTACATAGAGAGTATGAAGCAGGAGCAGCAACAGCAGCAGCAGCAGCAGCAGCAGAGGCCGTTGCAGCAGCAGCAGCAGCAGCAGCAGCAGCAGCAGCAGCAGGAAATGAAGAAGCTAAAGAGATGACAACTAGCTGCATGTACACCCCAAATAAAGAGCAGCAAGAAGCCCCAGGATGGAGCCCCTGGTCTTACCCTTCTTTTCTTGATCGTGAAGGTGTATATACATATTATAATATATATATATATATTATAATATATATATAATATCTAATATATATAGTATATATTATATACAAAATATAATATATATATAATATGTAGTGTATATTATATATATTATGTTTACTCTATAATATTATATGCGTATTATAATATTATATATAATATATTATATATATATTATGCATAGTATATAACACTATATAAATAATATATATAATATATATATAATATAACATATA